CTCACTTGCTATAGGGTTTGTCGCAAACCCATTATGTTGGTTTTGTCATGACACGGCTCATTTGTTATTTCTTTGTACAATTTAAAAACAGTGCAAATAATGGTCATAACGCAATGACACTTTCTGCGATTATATACACCTTGTTATTGTTATTATCTTAGCAGCCGATTTTTCTTTTTGCAATTTGCAAATACAAAAAAAAATGGCTTCGACCATCTCTGTGTAGGTCAGAATCACTACTTTTCTTGTTTCCTCTAGACTGTAGATTGTTTTCCTTCCGTTATCCCGTATATTAGTTTTTCCTCTGGACTTCTTTCATTCGACGAATTTTCCTCTTTCCTTGAAAGATAAAGAAAGCATTTCCCCACAATCAGTTTCACAAACTTTCGACATTTTCAAATTACGTATATATGAATAGATAAAATGAACACATTTTAATACAAAGAAATAACAAGTTCGGGTTGTTGTTTCCTTTCAGTAAAAGTTGTAAAATATTTCGCATCGTTTTCCGGTTGATGCAAAATTCATGGGTTTTTTATTTTTTGGAAAGGCTATTTATCTTTATTGCTTTTGAAGTTGCTTTACATCTTGAACGATATGGAACAAATTAAAAACAAAGATAATTAAAACATACCTTTGCAAAGAAAACGAGGAGTATAATTTTCTTAATGGTGTTATGCATCAATAACTAACTTTCATTTGAGCCGTGCCATGACAAAACCAACATAATGGATTTGCGACCAGCATGGATCCAGACCAGCCTGCGCATTCGCGCAGTCTGATCAGGATCCATGCTGTTCGCTTACAAACCATATTACAAGTAGAGAAACTGATAGCGAACAGCATGGATCCTGATCAGACTGCGCAAACCCACTATATTTGTTTTGTCATGGCACGGCTCAATTTTACCTTATTGCTGGAAAAGCACTATCTCTCTGTCCTAACACGTAGATTTTCTTGCATATAAAAAGCATCAGTGCTGCACCAAGTCCAAAGCTACCAACAATAAACACGCCGGCAGTGTGCTGTAGGTCAAACTCAATTTGTTTAGAACTTCTACTTTGGAAATCTTCATCACATTCACGGGTATTCTCCCACCATCTGTAAATTAGAGTGTACATCATTTTCTGTGTTTTAAAATTATCTTTATGACATAATATACATCATACATGTACATTATTTTACATTCAAATATTTGTTTATTAAGACACATTATGAGTAAGAAACGAATATTTTTTTACTTCTTTAGAAAAGGCAAATATGAGTATGATAACGTTTTAGAGCATTCATATGCTTGTCACCTGAAATAAGTAGCGCTAATTTTAAAATTATTTGTCATCTAGGTAGCAAAATGTAAACAATGTAGTAATTTGACTTCCATACAAAATTCTTAATCATTATAATTGTACTCATTGCCAAGAAGCAACAGAATAATAGACGGTTTAGATAATTGAATAACTTTTTGGAAACTATAGAAGCACACCAAATATAAACAGTTTTGAGAAATTTCTAAGGCATTATGGGCCTTTTATATCCTTTACATTTGTAAATTAGTAGTTAAGTAGTTCTAGCCTTTAAAAAGCAGTTTACAATATACTTGAATAAGTGACATTATGTCCATCAAAGTGTAAATGGCGAGTGAACAGGTAAAAATTAAATAAAAACTTAACATAGTGCCATATTAATTGTTTTCATGTTTATTAAGCATAAAATGATCAATAATTCGCATCACACAAAAAATATCATATCTCTCCTTAGGAATATGTCAGTAACCCGGTATGTTAGATTGATAAGTATATTCAAACAGTTCTTTCTTTTAATTTTTTAGGTTGTTTATTGTTCCCTAATATTTGTCATGCTAGTCACCATTATAAAAGTCAGCCTTCAGAACGACATATGTGTAGCTTAATTAGCTCATCTTAACAACACAAATGAGTGTTATGTCACGAACAAAGTTGTGAATACTTACTTTTTCCTTAAGGCTTGTATAAAGCCTTCCTCTTTAAGTACTAGCAATTCTATATTTAGTTGTGATTTAAATGGAGCCCCATTCATGATGGCGATTCCGTGCTCCTGAAGTAATATGGGTGCAGAAACAGATTGTGTCCTGCAATAGCGCTTTTCAGAATATAAATTTATCATTGAATCAAAGATAAAAGCTGCAGAACCGTCTTCAACTTTCTCCCTTCCTACTGTGGCGTTAGGGACAAGGCCCTTATTGTTGTCACGAGCTATCTTTTCCCATATTTGGTGATACACAGAACTCTCAGAAGATGTCTTCAGAAAGTTCATAGTGGCTGAGTTCTCAACGGTGTATATTTGTATATCGTCCCTTTCTGCCAACTGTTCGAAAGAATCAACTGGCTCTTCTAGATTTTTCTTCGTCAAGAAAGCTGCCATATTTGCAGTGTAAGTTGAAACTGTTATTAATACAAAGAACAAAAATCCTGTCGTCAAGATTCTTTGGGAAGTCTTTTTCGGTGAAAATTCACTTCCTTTCATAAGCAATGTGCCGAGGCAAAACCAAAGTGTAGATTTTAGAGTGAACATCCTCTGTTTGCTTCTGAAATCTAAAACGAAGTAGAGGATTGACACACCAAACGAAGAACCAATGATAGCCATCCACAGCTCGAGTGAGAACGGAGTAAGGAACTGGAAGATGCTGAGGACCTCTTCTGGCTTTGTTATCAGGATGTTGACACCAGTGCTGACTACACCAAGACTGAAATCGATTACGGATTGTCGTTGTGACGTTATAGAAATAGCACCCATACCTAACGTTGCGTTCTATAAAGAGAAACATATATTTAGAAATATTTTTTTTTACACAGCGGAACTCAAATCTAAGGTAGAGTTCTATAACAAACAATATTATTATTCGCAATAAAAAAACAAACAAAAAAAACTTATAACATTGTTATCCTATCATATAGGTAGGGCGGCCGTTCAATGCTTTAAGTGAGACAAACATGTAGTTTATGACTGACGGTATTAGATTATCTGTAACGTAACATACTTATTTTAATATCGGGGAGGGCCGATCGCTAATGTTGTAAGAACTTGGGCCCAACCCGTTTGCTTTTGCTGTTTAGAATACATATGAAATTTGTATCTGTATTGTATATACATGTATATAGCAATAAAATATGATTAAGCTAAGCTTATTTTAATGGGTTGGTATTTGTTAAATACATTAACATTGACAATTAAGGTTATTAGTGTTTTGTGTATTCACTTTCGTGTAAGGAAGGGTATTAAGAAATGTAAATATTTTAATTACCTGGGCAAGAATTGCTCCAACTATTCCTCCCCATTCGGCATCACTCGGGTCCCTTCCTCTATCCGTTCTTGGTCCTCCATATTCATTATTTGGTGATAAGATTATTTTGTAATTAAACTTTAAATCTTTGCTGATGCGATCCAATAGATCGATAGTGAATCCTTCGTATTGATCATTTCCTTTAAATTTTACACCTTTGGGCTCCGGTCTACGCATAACAAACGGTTCTTCCTAAAACCAAAATAGCATGCTACATGTGTTATAAAACTGATGCTTAACAAAAATTTCATCAACCATTAAGCGCAGAAGCAAATGTCTTAAGACGCATCTACAATGGCTGTCACATGTATTATTGCTTTTGCCAATATTTAAATGACAAAAATGCTGAAACAATCGTTCTTCAAGCAACTACCATTTTTAAAGATGTGATTTGCAATGTTTTGAAAACTCTTAGACTGCTTCAGACATATTAAATCACTTACCCTGCAGGCTCGAGTTTTACCTGCGTCTTCGTGTTTCTGCAGATATGTATGCACGAAAACAGGTTTATTAACCCTTTATTTTATTAAACATTAACCTTAAATGTTTTAAAAGAAATCTACACTGGCTATTGCTCTCGTTATTGCCAAAAATTTGATAACAAAATTACTGAAATAACCACGCTCTTCGACGGCGTGCTTTTTCGAAAACTAGGGCTTCAACCTTTTGAAACGTATAAATGAATATACTTGTGTTCAATGGGAATATAAATATCATTTCTTTCCGCAGTTTTTATCATATCATTATTTATTGAAATTCTAGTATGAAAAACAAACTCGAATTTGGTATCACAACAAGGGTCTGGCGTAAAGTTTGTATTAAGTAAACAATAATGCAACATATAAATGACTTCAACTGATTTTTATTTGACAATGCTTTAGGTAACCCAAACTTGTTACAAAAGAAGATTTAAATTGGCATACATAAGAGATGGAACTATATATAAGATTCTTAATATAAAAGGTCATATTAAAAATAAAAAGTTTTATTTAAAATATATGTTATTGTATTACTTCAATAGAATTATATTTTCTGCAAAAATATAAACGAGTACTACATTTTATTTATAGTAAGCAGAAAACGATAAAGACATTGCACTGCTAAGTGTGTAATGTTTCATTTGTTATGTGAAATTGTTGATCAATAATAACATAATTATACTCTGTTTACTAAGCAATCTGATGAACAAGAAGACTTAGTCGGTGAAGAACATCATCTCAAACTTCTTTCTTCTTTCAGAATTTTCACTTTAAAGATGTTGCTTTTTTGGGTTTTTTTTTTGTTTTTTTGTTTTTTTGTTTGTTTGTTTTTTTTTTTTTTTGGGGGGGGGGGGGTAAAGAAAGTTCGTAAATCAGTTAAAATGATTTTCAAAATTTTATTTTAAGCAACGATATGTTTTAAATTCTAAGACTGGATTCTCCTTCCCAACTAGGGTCTTCTTGCATTTGAAATAATTTTTTGAAAGTTGCTAGAGTTACTGACCAAAACAACGACAACTGGTTCAACATCTCTGAAAATTCCCCTAGATTCCCCTGCCTCCGTTTCATTTACATCCAGAAAGGTCAATCGGTCAGCTGGTTGTGGAATATATTCTGTTGTTATGTTGTTTTCTTCTATCTCGTATGGTTCAACCTTTTGCCATTCTCCGATCTTAAATATTCCGATAATGAAAAACATAACATCTTCAAATATTTTTCTCATTACACCAGTTTGCCATTCATAAAGCTACCCACACAGAACGGGGCTAAAAACATCAACATATTTGACAACAGTTATTAAATATACATAGAAGTAAAATTTGCAGTTTCAACGAGATAACTGTTACCTAACGTTGTCACGTTTCAGTTGACACAGATATTAACATTCCTATTAACAGACCCGTTAACATGCGAGCAGGACAGCTTGATGCATATAACACAATGTAAATGTCAATTTAAACCGGATTACCGATACAAAAGTATTTGTTGTTTTTTTTTCTTTCTCTTTATCTGTCTTTTTAGTGACATCATTTTCAATGACACAATGGCCAGGATAAAGAAACTTATCAAGCGCACAACTGTTCTACCCGCATGCAACCAGTGAACGGGTGTGTTTATAATTTAAGTCAATATTTACAAAATCAAACGTTACAACGGTTAACAATTACAGAAAATACATTGCATAAACTTAACTAAGATGGTTTTTTTCGTCGAAGAAGACATGTAGTATTCATCTAGTTCTATATAAATGTATGAGCTTGTGGTGAAAGTTTATATTTGGTGACATTTTATTTCAAAAACGCACATAATACAATTTGTGGGATGCTAGGCTAGAATGGCAATATCTATGCAAGTTAATCTGCATTTTTTCAGGCAGGCAACGTTTCTAATTACGATCCAGCGAACATGATTGTCACATACACAAGGCAAGCAAAGACATATGAAATATTCTTGCAAAATACAAAATTTTATGTATTTCACTTACCTTAGAAAACAAATTTGCACCACCATAATTGTAAAGAGATAAAGAATATCCGATCCTCGACCCTGTTGTTTTGTTAAACTCTACATATCCTGTTTCCCCACCAGCTATTCTTACCTGAAAGTTGTCAAATAGAATTTCTAATAAATTGATCATCATTTGTTCTTTATAATACAAATGTGCTACAATGCTAGTGACTACTACTGTTTTTGTTAAAGTTTTGTAACGATGTTTTTGAAGTGTTTTTCGGTGCAATCAGTTAAAATAATTTAAATATTCCATACAAATATTCTGTTTTGGATTTGATGACTTATTCGCGATTTTTTTTGTGAAACAGAAAATGTGAAAAAGGCCATTAAAAAAGAGGCTTGTGTCCAAAACATACATTTTTGAGTGCCTTTAGATAGATTTCCTTTGAGAAGGTGTTGATCTTTGTAGAGTCATTGTCTGTGATATAGTAATATTTGGCTTCATTTATAATTTGAGCCGCATCGGCAGCACCGTACCCGTACCTGAAAGCACAGGATGAAATGATTTTCATCTCCGATCTCAGAGCATTGACATAATTTGCATAATCTTTCCTGTCTTTCTATTATGTTCATTTACAAATATTTGTAAAAAGTGTCAAACAATAAACTTTGATGACAGATTTGAAGTTCAAGTACGTAAACGTGCAAAAGTAATGTAGATGTCTAATAGTTTACAAAGCTTGATATCAATGAAATGAAATTCGATTAAAGCTCGGCACACAGAAAATTTAGGAAACTAAAGTTCAATACAAAAAATATTGTATTTTTGTTATATATAAATGTGATTTGTAATATGATCATTTATAAGAATTTGTTGAATCTTTAAATGTATTTACCCGGTCTGAAAATTGTTTGAATTGTTACTGATGTCAGTGTATCTATACGCCAGCAGTTCACATTTGGCAGTAAACAGGCCTGTTCTGTACATGTTGATCTCCGACAAAGCCTTGAGGTGTACTGACTGTAACAAAAACAAGTCTATTTTATAAAATTACGGTGTTTTTAAGGTGGGAATATAATACATTTCAACATTAAGGGAATTCCATAAAAACCTAAACATGTATTAACAATCACAATAATACCGGTTTTATTTTACTTGACATAAAAGTTGTTATACAACTGATGATCATTCGCCCGAACATGAAAAAAAAACAAATTGAAAGAAGTGATTTAAGTACATTAAGGATTGTGGGATGAAATGATTGATGTCTCAAATGTCAATATTTAATTCTGTTAACTTAAAGCATTTATGGAGCTTTTTTTAAATCATAATTCTATGTATGGCAAACTCTTACTGGGTCAAGTATGAAGAAGCTGAAGCTCTCATCGACGAGCATCCGAAATAATTTTGCCTGAAATCAAACAGAATATGCCAATTGAACAATAGCAGTTTATAGATATACCAAAGTATTATATTATTGTATACATTGATGCAGGTAATTAAACAACTGCTCGGGGAAAAGTCTTTGAAAGTGTCTCGAAATGTCGAAATCGCTGTGCAAATTGATAAAAAGCACACAAAGCACCTGCATGCAATTGTCTCGGTACATCTTAAAGTACTTTTTCTTTTTTTCAAAAAAACGTGTGTGAATCTTAAACTATATTTCTAAAAGAATTATCAAAATTATATCTAAACAAAATTACATCATGTATTTAATGGAAAATTAATGCAATTCTTATTGTGTTCATAGTAGATATATATTTACTTGTTCTAAAACCATCTGTATAAGATTATATTTGTCATCTCTTGGGCTACATATTACAATCTTCTTTTGTTCCAGGAGTTGAACATTTCTGAGTACTTCATCGGTACTCTCTTTCATTTTGTCCTCCTTCTGATATCTTAATGTATATGATATAGGTGATATGTTATGTTCCACCATTTGATGAGCTAGATTCTGACACTCTGAAATTTGAGAATGATTATCGTTGTATATTTGCCAGAAGGACATCTCGAACTAACATGTTTGGTCTATGTGACTGAATTTAGAATTTTATAAGATGGCAACGTCAATTTGACTGTATAGTAAATTTCATGATTATCTACAAAGTTCTGGAAGCAAGGTCACGAGAATCGGAATATCTCAGTATTGGAATAAGAAAGTGGAACTGGCGGATTTGTTTAATTAGGTGCCTTGTTTACAGAGTAAAATCAACAGAATAATTTTTCACAAGCCTCCTTGCAGAGGCTGTCTGGAAGGAACTGGAGTCAATGATTTCAACAGACTATGAGAATTAGAAAAAGATATGTATGGCTATGTTGAAAAGATGCACCTAAACTCGTAATATATGAACTATCAAATAACTTGATAAGTTTAAATGAAATCAAAATAGCATTATTATTATCATTTCGGAATACTAGCATTTCTAGCCCCATGTGACATTATAACTCTCTACACCGGTTTCAAATACTTTAAATATTTAATAGTATTAAATGGAAATTGAATTTAATTTTAATATTTCACCCAGTGTGACTCGATGATTTATGTAATATTTCACCCAAAAGAAACTTCATGTCATGTCTGTCATCGGAATATGGAAATGTAATGAATTATACATTTAGTCAGTATTGAAAAAAAAAATCATGTTCAGGAATTGTATTTTTCACATGTTTCGCCTACCTTCTAACTGACATTTATTATCATGTGATTCCATCAATTTATGAAATATATTTTGTAATATAAGGTCGTATAAAATTACACAAAATTGTATAGTTCCATACTGACATAAATATCTGAAAAAAGTGTCCCGTCGGAAGCATTAAAAACAGCAAACTTTACACGAAAATTGTTGATTCTTTGTCATTGAGTCTGCACATGAGATATAATGAAAAAGTGCAACACCCCTTATGCCCTAATCCCTGAAAAGCTTATTAAAAGTGAAGCAAGTCAGAAATGTTGGATTACGGCCTTTAGATTATAATTCATATTTATATTATGGAGATGATCAAAATAGATAAAGGAGTTGACTTTAAATTTAATTGTCATATAAAGAACTAACACAACATGATTGTTAGTCGAAGACATGTATCAGCAACAATAGCTGAAATCGCAGTCCAGCCGGGTATTTGATTTTTATCGTGAAATAGACGCCGTCTTGAACAATCGAGCTTATATTACTTCTTGCAAGAGAAATATTCCGGATATTATTTATACCGCAGGGGCTTACACACTGATTTTGAATATATTGTTTCGTCTCTATATATAGGTAACCAATAAAAACCACTCGGCGGGTGACGTGCCCAGTAGGTGCCCCTTTTTAGGTCTTTTGTTGGCCGTTTTGTTATCATTTGGTATTTAATTCCTCATTCTGATTGAATAGGCACTGTATTATAGGTAGAAATTGTGAAATCGTGGTAATGGTATATGCTGCAATCCAGGAACGGCGGCAATAAAGACCTAAAAGAATTTTAGTTTCGTTTTTGTAGATATACTGGCTTGTACATAGAATGTTACGAATTACATGATATATTTAGAGCAGTAATACGCCTAAACCTAAAATTAATGTGGTTTTTCGCAACAAAATAGATAATTTAAGTTTCAAATCTGCTGTCAATATCCAGTTCCCTACCTTGATTTTCTCGTGGATGCTCTGGCATGATCATGACAGCACTTTCCCAGTTCTTTAATATAAAATAATCGACAATGGCTCCATTGATTTCTTTCATCGGAGGACGTACTTCAACAATATTCTTCCACTTGACCTTTGAATCTACAAGACTGATATCAGACCAGTCAAAACCAGTATAGTCAGTGACAACATATGGTATTCCATGGTGTTCCAGTATCATCGCCAGATTTTGATAGAAAGGGCCAACCACAACGGATAAACCTACATCGGTTTTCGTGTTGGCTTGAAAAGTGATTGCTGAAGAATTGATTGAATATTCAAAAATGTTAGCAAAATGCAAATTATTCGTTTCTATTAATTTAAGAATCGTATTCAAAATCATTTTACGTAACAAATATTATTCCTACTTCGTGACCATGAAAACACTAGAGTTAAGGATATATGAAATACGAAATTAAAGAAGAGATATTAGCGAAAACTAAATATATATAATGGTTCAAATTAGTAGTTACGATCATTTTAAAATTTTGCACAGGAGGACTTGAAAACAAATACATGTATATAGGAAGACAACTTTTATACGGTTTCAACAAAGAAAAAAAAACTTACAAGAATAGCAGGTAAATATGTGTGAGTAAGTATTAACACTTTAAAGACTTAAAATATTTCAGAGATTGTTGTAAGTAAAATTTTCTAGAACAACTTAAAGCAATGTTGTTAATTTTCCCGACCAATGGTACTTCATACATGTCATAGACTTACCTTGATCAATTCCGTGTTTTATTTCAGTCCAACCTGACTTTGGAATTTGTAAAACATCGTCAACATTCAAGCTGACGCTATTTGGCGTACTGAAACATTTGCTTACTTTATCGTTAGTTACGGTGCTAAAGGCATCAAAATCTTTCTGTAGCGGAGAATCCCCCGCTTTCGGACTCAAAATTCCTGAAAATTGTAAACAAAATACATACCTGTGTTTAACTCTTTAAAGATATAAGTCGACATAGAAGTTTTAATTACATTTTCACATGACTTCATTTAATTGAAATGCTCGTCTCGCTCGAGCTCTTTACAGATGGTATTTGCTCTATGTATTATTAACTTTATGGTAGTGTTTGCGTTGTCTTTTGCTTTAAAACTGATAAAAGTTGATTTTCGAATTTCAAACTGTAGGGAAATTAGCAAGCCAAATTAAGAATACCGTCTTAATTATTAATTTTCAAATTTTCTTAATTACATTTACACGTCAACAATCTATGAAATATCAACGAATTTGAATTGGTATATCTATAATTGAAACTTTTTTAATGGCAAATAAGCAAACTGAAAGTGCGTTATGATATTTTGACTGGAATATAAGTCATTCTTTGACAGGCGTGTTGACATCTGCCGCGAGTATAATGGAAACAATTATCTATACAGGATTGCAGTAGTGGTTACTGCTGGGATCATAATTACTATAACTGGTGTTGTAATTATATGGCTTGTCGTGTTGTTTTAATCCATTATCTATAACATTAAACAGTAAATACCACTAAAGTACAACTATTTATTAATAAATGTTCTGTTAAAAACACACAGAGTAACGGAAAATGTTTCTAGTGACCACATAATATAATGTTTTCATGGGTTTTGGTACAGTAATGTTTAGGAATTGATAATCGAACAGTATGTTTCCAGAACTTATTTTTCAATCGGAAAAGAAGTGCTTATGGTCAATAAGGGCAAATGTTCCTGTTGATTTGGTTGGTTATGATGTTATTGTTTCTGTTGTTCCTGCTGCCACACCTGATGGTAATACAAATTTGGTTTTTGTTTTGTTGTTGTTTTTGGGGGGGGGGTTGTTTTTGCATTACGTTAACATTAAGGTATAGTTAATTATCCAAACCTTTGCAAAAAGCTTATACAATGCATTTGGAACATAACAAAACTGATCAAGAAGTCAAAATAAAATTGATAAAACATTATATAATAATAAAAGCGATATATTCTTCAAAATATTCTAGTTATTGCAAAAACAATAAAAAATTAACATTATGGTTATTATTATTTTCATATTTCAAAGAAACGTGGGAAGATTCAATCAAACAAATAAATTCATCACAGTGTCCCCACCATTTCCATTTGCTCTGTTCTGTTTCAAGACACTAAGTTTCTTTTAAACACATCTTCAGTTTTGCTTGTTAGCATCAATATACACCACCTTGAACATTATTTAGAGATAAGAACATTTTAGGAGGTTTATTTCGTTTTCTAAATAACGATTTATCGTTATGCTCTTGAAATATATCTGAATTAACAAGAATCCTTTGTAGATCTTACCTATCACAAAATCAAGTGTAGTGCACTGTATACTTCCATCGACTGAAACCATGGAAATCACGATAAGTATGAAACATTGTACAGTTGACATGGCTGCAATGTAAATCAAGATATCTTGTAATGTAGTGAAGTGTTAAATCGTATTCGGTTGTAAAATAAGAAGTAAGAACTGTCAATTTCTAGTCGGAAAAGGTCATTTTGTTTGTTTGTATGTTCATGTATGTTTGATTGAGTTTTATCATTATTATTTCAGGCACGAACGGGCACCTGAGTAGAACCACCGACGTTCCATAAGCTAACTGGATAGCATCCTCACAGGAAAAGATCAGCAAGAATACTAAGAGAGCGAGGTCATAGTACATGAACAGTGTGCGAATAAGCTATTAGACTGGAAGTAAAATTTGAACATATATAGATAGATCATAATCACGCCAAGCACTCTATAGTAAAGTTGTCTATATGTTAGTGACATGTCATTAATATCTGATTCACAGCAGGGTTAAAATATACCATGTTTCTGAGAAATGCTCATATATGTTTCTTTAGCTAATAGAAATGATACAACTACAATAGATTTATAAAGATATTTTGTATCAAACTGCACATATATTTTTGTCGTTTTATGAATCATTGTTAGAGTGATCATTTAATGTAAGTCAATATACAGGATTGTTGTAACAATTTTAATAATTTTATCTGTTTTATGAGGCGAAGAGATTGGATTGGCGATTAAAAATCCACTAATTATTCTATGAAATGTAATCATAATATAACATGGATATTAAATACAAATATAGCATTTATGAACATATATCCTAATATATTTTGAAATCTAAAAAATGCATTATTTTGATGTATATTAAATTATTGATTACGGTTTTTCAAAATGACTGTTTTGATTCATTGATTTCGTACATTCCTGCCTTTTATGTTGCATTGTCGAAAACATTACTTCTGTATATTTTTACTTAGGAGATATTGATTAATCAATGGATGCATTGCGTTATGTACGACTAACACACTGAAGTATTGTCGGAGCAAAATTTTTATCTCAGGGTTTGCATTTGTTATCATAATTATATCCACGTGACATTCGTTAAACTTATCATAACAGTGCGGACGTTCTGCACGTCACAAGAGACGCCAATTTGCTCCAACATTCTGCAAGAGTGATTAATATAAGTCCCTTCGGAGGCCAATCAATCATGAAACAAGTGAGTGTACAGTAAGTATGAGACAAGTATTTACAGAACTTGGTTTGTACTGTTGCTTTAATTAATTATCTTATTTCCATTAGATGATGTATCATTTTGTCATTATATATCATAATGTTTGAATCACTTATTTATATCCTAGAATCAATAATTCTGTACTGTAAACAGCCATAAGTCAGAAATAGTACTATGAAGCGTTGGTATGGGATATTCGTGGATGAAAATGGAAATGTTCCTTGTTTGCAGCTTGGTCCACTCTTTCATATGAACAATGGTCAAAATATTGGTACAAGAGATACTAGTAAAGGCTAACGTGAGGAAGACAACCTTATCTAAGTAATACAATAAATATGATAACATATGAGGGGTTTAAAGAGAAACTAAATTTATAGACACATATACATATCATGCATATAATAGACAAAATGTTGTTGTTGTTGGTTTTTCTCTTTTTTTTTTAAATATATCTCCTACCTATAAACAAATCTTTTTTTTAATTTTAAAGAAAAAAAATTCCAAAATCACCTGTATAAAAGAACTACATGTATGTTTGTATATTTTTTTACAGTCCCGGTTAACGCAGTATTCAATATGTAAACAATTAATGGTGAAATTTTGAATTTAGAAACATTCACATACATGTGTTCATACAGCGGCGATGAAACCTTCAATGTGGCATGATAAAGAGCCGTGTATTGTCCATACACACCTATGATAAATCGGCGTATAACTCAAGATACCATTATCTTTATTGTACACATGATAGCTTTTGCAAAAGGAATATATGGGCAGACACGCATGAATAACGAAACGTTTACGCCTACATATAACTACCGTTTGCATTTGCATTAAATTACATAAAGGTCATTTTCTCCTAAAGGGAATTATTACATAAGATAGACATGCTATATCGCCTTGTTCATGTTTTTTTCTCTGAACAGAACGATTTTTTATAAAAGTGTTTATTATCTTTATATATCTTTTTTCGGTCTTTGCGATCATTGATGCCTACACGTTTAGTGTTTAGGAATTTAATACCATTTAAGCCGGTGCTTGGGGCGTGATAGATGGTGTATATTACATCATATTTATATAAAATTACAGCCATCTGACGTGTATTAATGCACCCAGTAGATCTAGCGTCTAATAGTAGCACCTTTTTTCAATAACTTTCATATTTCTGTCGTTGAAATTCCTGCCTTTGTAATGTATAACTTATACAGAGCTACGCCCTTATATCTGTACAAAGTTCACTATAATCCTTTCGGAGTAAATTGTAGTGCTTTTTCAGGGTTTTTTTCTCCTTCTTTTTGTATATCAAGCTATATCAGAAAATAATTAAGTCTTATGGTTATATATGATTTATTAAAAAAAACCTGGTGTTTTGTTCAATTATTTTATGCTAAAGAAAATGTTGTCAAAGCATATATCAATTTTAGGCTCTCTCTTAGTAACAATTCACACTATTGCAAATTAGAAGAAATAAGCTCGTGCAACTTTAAAGATCTACAAACGCATAATGGGTTTAATATCAAAGAAAGAAATTTTTATTTTAATAAACTGGACATTAAAACAAAGAGGGTCGAGTGGTGTTTAATTTTCTTTTTACTTTTTTATCTTTTTCCGGGGGTTACGTTGCACCTACACAGTAGAGGTCATATGGCGATTTTCCAGTTTTACTGGTGAAGGAAGACCTCTGATGCCCTCCGTGCATTATGTCAGGCACGAACAGGCACCTGAGTAGAACCACCGACGTTCCGTAAAGTAACTAGACAGCTTCCTCTCCTATAATGATCCAAATTCCCTGGCAGGATTATAACCAACAGCTGTCAAAAGCAAGTAGTGTTAAGCCCAAGACCTTAACCACTCAGACACGGACGCCCCTTAGTGCTCAGTGAGTAATGTTTGAATTGTGAGTCGTCACAATTAAGGGATCTGTTATGTAAATGAGGACAGAAATAGGTCACCTTAATCCCCTTAAATATTCAAGTAATATACTACTATGGTTTTCGTATTATTTACAGCATACTTATTTCTTATAACTGATATTTATTGCTTATATTTTTCAACTATTCCAAGCCCGTTAATGCAGAACATTTTTTAAAAACCATTTATATTCTGACGCAAACCAAAATGTCCTTGTCCGAAGGGATATAAAATTGACAATATTAGAGATGCAATTATTAAACAATTAATGATACATTACGCAATTAGATCTTGTAGCTAACTTTTAGTTAAATGGACCAGAATATTCAAACCACACTCACTCTATGAACATAACTCATTGACCGAATATTAATTGTATTAATTTGCAATTGTCACAATTAAAAAGCAGGATTAGATTGTAATACAGCAGTATGCCAACAGTGAACTGACATTCGGCAATACGATTTTTTTAAAGTTTAATTTATGATTTGATACTTAGAATTATCCGGAACATGACTAGCGCATACTCTTTACAATCATGAATGTCTCACACAAATGGAAATATTATACATTTGCTATGCTCAATATGTAGATTAACTGTGAATTTAATACTCCATTATGCAATAATAATGATTTTACATGTATTATGATATAAACATAAACAAAGTCTCCTATAACTCTGTAGAGAGTGACAATGTGCTTTTTTTAAATCATGCTTTTTATTTATAATATGTTGCATATACTGTATCACATTGATGAGACTATAATAAAGAATAAAATAAAAATATCATAATGCTAGAGCTGCGGGTTATCAAAGAAGGAACAATTGGAATATGCCCACATATAAATGGAAATGTAGCAGACGGAAATCCCCTTCCATAGTTAAAACGTGTGTTTTATGATAGCCTATTCTTTTGTCACATATGAATGGCAAATACGCAGTGTGCCGCTGAGATGTGATTGTAAAGTCGAACATTGTTCATGAACAATAACAACCATTCCCTCCAGTAATAAATCAATCAAAAGTGTCGCTAAATGTATAACATGTATTTACAGTTTTTGTCCATATTTGCGATGTTTTAATTAATTAACTGGTGTTGAAAGCGCCATATATTTATCGTTATGGAAAATGGCATGAAACTACGAGAACGAATAATGTGAAAATATGAAAAACAAATATAAAACAAAATATATGACACGAATAGTTCGGCAAATGTCTTTAAGTATACCGAATGTCAAAAACAAGTATAAAATATATGCGTTATTCTTAAAAACGTATCGACACAACTCAAAAATCACTTCAATACAATAGTCATGATGTCAATTAAAACAAACACTATCTTGAATGTGTAATGAGTTTTAAAATATAATGTTTCTGCAAGGTGTGCGCTGATTTATTTATTTATTTCCTTCAATTTGATTTACTATAAAACATATTGGTTCATTATCTTATCAGGGTGCTCGTTTTTGACCATAGAATTGAGTTTTTAATTTCTGTACCAGCAGGTTACCGGTTAAAATTGAATTCTTTGTATTTAAAAAAATCTCCACCAGTATATCTAACTGTTACCAAATAGTGATTTTAAAACCTCAATAAGTTAACTTTTCTTCTCTTAGGAAATCAGATTGTGACAAAGCTGTACCTAACACACGTCTTGATATCAACTCTTGTCTTTATGAATCACCATGTCTGTATCTCTTTAACCGTCATGATCAATTTGTTTTTTCTAAGAATTAGAGTGACACATTTTTATCTTTTAATATGCGATAATGCTCCATTTTGTGTAGCTTGCAATGAATATGTTAGTGTCAAAAATTTCTTTCTTGAATACCATGATCTTGCACATCTTCGTGATATATTTATTGAGTCAATCATACTTAGAAAACTTTTTGCCTCAGTTTCACCCAAAATCCTGATCGATTACTTACAAAAGTGTACTCTACTTGTT